ATATTTAAAATTTTAAAAATATTCACTAAAAATACAATAAATAAAAAAATTAATTTTTAAAAATCTAAATTCAGAAAATTAAAACCAAACACATTGTATGTTAAATGGATTTTGGTTGAGTCCATCTGTGTGTTTGGGTGTATCTGTTTGCTAACTTTTAGGAAGTTGTTGATTTTTAGCTATTTTGCTTTTCTTTTTTCATGCTTAAAAGCTATTTTTTCTATTGGAGTGTCTTTTTATTTACATATAAAATATTCTGATCTTATCCTTACATGTAAAAAATAGGGAGAATTATTTATAAGTCCTATTTAGAAGACCTATATTACATATGGTTCTAAGTAAAAACTTATGTTCCCATAAGTTCTGTGAGAAGTTAGATGACACATTTACCGTTAATAGTAGTTCTTAATATCATAAATAATATGAAAACCATATATAGGAAATTGAATGTTACCATAGATCATATCCATATGGATGTGAATTTGAAATTCAAAATACACGTGATATGTGGAAATTACAGGTTCAGTTAGGCAAAATTTTAGGGAACAAAAAGAATTAGATATGTTTTGTGGCTCTACTCTAATGTGAACAGCTGATTCATTTGATAACATTTTGAAACCCACCACGAACAAGAGAAGGGGCGCGATTCGATCGCCACGTTTGACGGGAAAGTGCTAACGAAATACCGTTTCTGGTGAACGAGGAGGAATGATGGCTCCAAAACGTAAATGTGGCTTTGCCCCTTGTTTTGCAATGTTCATTCATTTGATTTTGATTAACAACCCAGAACTAGGGTTTATGTGAATATAGGGTTTTTGATAATTTCAGTTAACTTCAGTCATAATATGTAATGTTAGTTATATGTTTTGTGAGTTTTGTGAGGAATAAAGGATTTTATAGTTTTTGATTTGAAGTTATGTACGTAGGGGTTGTAAGATAGGGGGTTCAACGGGTTGTCCAATATGGGTGTTTTGTGCTTGATTCGTTGTTGTATTGCCTGGTACGTGGTCTATTTGTTTTTGTTTTTTTTTTAACCATGCAAAGTATCGTGTTTGGTAGACTGTTTTTGGAGGTTTCTCGTTGTGGTACGATGTCGTTTGGTTGTGCGCATTAACTTAAAGAAATAAGTTGTTGGATGTGAATGGTGTCACGTCTTTGTGTTATGTGTTGTACAGTTTATGAATGTGATTGTGACCCAATGTTAAATTACTGTTTAATGTGAGTGGCAACACATGTAAGTTAGACTGTGCATATAGTGCCACGTTGTGGTACGGTGTCGTTTGGTTGTTTTCATTCAGAAATAAAAGTTGCCAAACGTGGCTAGTGTCACGTCCTATTTTGATGTACTTTAAGGTTTGTAAATGTATCAAGATATTCGGGGGACACTGTTTGTAGATTGTCACAGGGAGACGAACAATGCAAGTAACATGATTTAGGGGTGTAGTTGTGGTTTCATGTCACCATTTGAACAAGTCACGTTCATGTTCGTAGTGGTTTGGTTACCAAGATTCACGTAACACATTTTCGTTTATTTTTTTTGTTCAGATTATTGCATTAATCGGCATGTATGACATTATTCATGGTTACGTCGAGTACTCCACAATCACATTTGAAAGCGTGTCTGTGTATGTGGGTGCATAATTACTTCTTAATTTGTGAATTGTGTGAAGGTAATTTTCGTCATAATGTCAACTGGAATTCGCAGGGAGAATATTACATGTTTGAATTGTGAATGTGCAAGTGAATATTTAGAACAACGCAAGTTGATTGTCACAGTTAGTCGAATAATGCACATAACACGACCTCGGGATGTGGTTGTGGTTTCACTTGCACATTTTAAGTTATCACATTCGTGTTCGTGTTTGTAGTTTGTTGTACATCAATATTCATATAGGTCAGTCTTGTTTACATTTTGATATTATTACGCGAATTGGTATGTCTCCGATTATTGATGTTTACGTTGCATACTCTATTGACGTTTTTGTGAACGGGTGTATAGTTATGTGTTAAGGTATGAAATATTTGATGAAGTAATTTCCATATCATCATAAATTTGTGTTATGCAAGTTAAATAATATGCCTACGGGTTGTGGTTTGTGTTTTGTAGATTTCGTTCGTGTTTGAATTAGAATATGTTGCATTGTCTCACACAACGACACATGTACAAAGTGGCACATGCACATGTCCTTTAAATGTTATCATGTTCGTGTTCGAGGTGTGTTACACGAAAATTGACTTATTTCACATTATGGCTTTTATTGTGACATTAGTTAATAAAATGGCATGCGCCACGTTATGCTAGATGTTGTGTTTTGGGCTGAAGACGTTAACCCTCATAAACCCATGTTTGTCATTTCTTAATTTTTTGTAACGAACCAACAGTGTTGTGGTACTTTGAATCACAATGCTATTGTGTCATTTGAATTATGTTTACATAATTTATAAGTACATTCATACTAAAGAATGATGTGAATTAAATGGTGTCTACTCAAAAAAGACATGTTAATCTAACATGAGTAAAGCGAAATGGCATGTGAAAATGTTGTAATTAATTTTAACGTTTATTGAATGAAGTAAAAACAGTTCTTGAGGCATACGTAGTGAATGTTTTAGTCTTGAAATGTTGTATTGTCATTCAATTAGAATGCCAATGTAGGGTGTGGGTATGTGAATGGGTTTGAATTGAATACATGTATAACCACATGTTATCGTATTACATTTTAATATTTACGAGGAACATATTAACTTATATTGTCATATATTGCTATTAATTTACCTATTCACATTAGTTATTACTGGCCACTTGTTTGTATACAAAATGTAAAATGTTTGTGGCATATTTCTCAGGAGGTACAATTAAAGGTACATCACAAAAGGGGTCCAAAGCGAAAGTAAACATCTATGAAGGAACTACATCTCGTAAAAGACAACAGTGTCTAACTTCGTCACGGAATGTGAACGCAGTAGGGCAAAGCAGTGTCCGAAAAGGAAAGAAGGTCAAATATGAACCTCAACAACCACTGACCAAACAACCAAGATTTTGCTACCATTCCAACATCGCTGGAATTGTGAAGCTTGTGGCAGCGTCAAATCTAAAAGATAAGCATTTGAATCATCTTCAGAAAACACCGTTTTGGTTTTTGTTTGATGCAATGCGAAAAACTAATCTAAATCAACATGAATTCCAAAAATGCGATGACATTGTAATAAGGATCATTCAAACATTTGTTCCAGAGAAGTCTGCTTTCATGATTGGTGGTAAACACATTGAGTTGACGAGCATCGATATGCAACTAATATTTGGAAACTGTCACGACCTAAACCCACCTCTGTAGGTTTAGAACCGTAACCGGCCAGTAATCCGTGGATTACCAAAGGCCTCAGAACAGATTAGCAAATGATAAGGGGCTGCGGAAGCAATAATACAAAATAGACAAGGTCTAATAAGCTGTGATAACGTACATGAGACAGAACATTTCAAAACTTATTTATAGATACATAAACATGCCAATCCAGATACACAATATTTACAAGGTATTCATAGATTGTACTTCCCAAGACCTAACTTTACAGATCACATACAAAGACTAGCATGTAAACAAAAACAGCCATGGCATTAGGCTTCGTTCGAAACCTCCTCGGGAGGCGCAACAGTTGGCTGACAAAACAAAACAGAAGGCCGTCAACTCTGGCCCTGGTCATGTGCCGGCTTACCTACATACATAATATAAACTGTGAGTGAAGCC